GCTCACTGGGGAAAAGGAGACGTGGCAAAGCTCAGTCTCCCTCGCTTCTCTTCTCTCACAACCCCCACCCAGCTCTTTCTCACCCCAAGAAGACCCAACTTGCTTTGTCCTCAGCCAGAGCCCATCCATTCCACTGCTGCAAATTCCCACAGTGAGGGAGTGCAGCAGGCAGACCTCTGCCTGGAGAGACTTTCACTTGCTCTGAGTCACACAGCACAGAGTCCCTTAAACTCTCAGCAGCAAAAGGAGAGCTGTCGAAGCAGAGCGCGGCTGCGGCGGAGCTGGGTGTGTTACATATCCATCACTTCTTCTTCCACCGTCTTGTCCTGAGATTGCACATACTTCTCCTGCACTGCAAGGGTGCTGATAACGCACTAATTAAGGAAAACAAGGCGGCAGGGCAGGGCTCAAACACTCCCTTCTACAAGGAGCTCTAACGTTCTCAGCGAGGAGCCAACCCCTACGTGTGCCTGAAGGCTGGCAGGGAGGCAGCAGTGCTGGCAGCAGCACGCAGCACCTGAGTTATTTCTGGCTCTGGCTGATCCCAGATCCGACAAGTACAGGAGAATCAATTGTATGGTTTGGACAGAGCGTAAAGAAACAGTTCAGGCGAGTGTGAATGAGAGGAGAGTTGTCAAAAGATTCCTCCCACATGTACAGCGTCAATTAGCAAGGCATGCAGTAGCTGTGGTATGGACAACTGCCTGCTGAGCTCTGGGCTGAGCATCTGCATCACAGCACAGCATCAGGCCATGGCAGGAACCACCTGCAAGCTGCCAGCCCCACCTCCAGCCCCTCTTGCCCAGGAGAAATTAAAGCAAGGGAGGATCAGTGGAGAAGGATACGAAGTAAAGTGGAAATCTGCTCCCACTGCTGCAGACATCAGAGCTTCCAGGCTTCTGTGCTCCTGGTCCCCAAAGGAACAGCCGTTGGCTTTGTCCACTGCCTGCATCACCTGCCGCATGCTGTCCTTATCCTGAAAGGGAGAGAGGTGACACGCAGGGAACACAACCCTCCCCAGGGGCAAGAGCTCATGCTGGCCTTTACCACCCATTTTCTCTGAGGCTGTGGGCCACCTGAACTACACTCCAAGCCTCCATGGCACTGCCTGCCTCCTCCCTGAGCCCAGAGGGCAACAGGACAAGGAGGAGCTCCCCCCTGGGGTCTGAATACACGATGGGCTGACACCCTCCGCCCTCTCGCTCCCTTTCATCACTGCTCATCTCAGCCCATCTCCCTTTGTTGACACTTCTGCAAACTGCAAAATTAACATTTTGAGTCCTCGCTCACAGATGCGTTCCTCCCATCTCCAAATTACTTTGCTCTCCCTGATTTGAAAGTGTTTTAGGTAATGGCTCGGAATTGCAATGCGGGCGCTGAACGAAGGAGTCTCAATTCCCCACCCCAGGACAGGAGGCCCACATAGCTCCAAGCCCATCAGCTTTTCCTTCTCCTTCGGCTGCCACAGAACATGTGCAGGTCTGGGTGCATTTCACTGCCCTCCTCCATCCTTGAGTCTCTGCACTGTAAAGCCTTTCAGCCCCCACTGTCCCCATTTGTTACAGCAACTTCCGGGGGCGGAGGGAAAAGCAGTAGAGGCAATATGGAATTTGGGGGCAGCCTTTGCAGAAGATGTATTTCCCCCACTTTCTGCACGTCCACGTGCCACCCAGCTGCTCCCAAACGTCCTGTCTGGCTCTCTCTGCCCCTCTCCTCCCACTGCATCACCTGGACGTTGAGCGGAACGAAGGACACCAGGCTGTAGTCCTCAATCACCTCCACCAGCTTCGCATTGAGGCGGCGGTAGTTTCTGAAGAAGGGGTCAGAAGCTAAATGGTCAACCAGGTAAGAGAGGTCCAAGACCTCCGTGTAATAATCCAGGTTGAAAGCTGTGGGGAAACACCGAGAGGCTCTGAAAACCTGTTGTAGATGTGGCTGATTTCCTGCTACCGAGAACCCAGCGAGATTTACACCATTTTCCCAACCAGCTCCCAGCAAAGCAGCCCTGTGCCATGGCAGCTGATCTGCATCTGACACCACCTGACTCCACGTCTCCCTCTCTGAAAGGCACCATACCCAGCTTGCCATACTGCTCAATCAGGTCCATCTTGGAGAGGACGTTCACGTGGGGCAGCTCCACATGCAGCATGGTAGAGAGCGAGGTGCAGAGCACGGAGATGAACTTGCCAGGGTCTGTGCAGTAGTGAGAATCCACCAGATGTACTGCAGCCAGCTGGGGAGCAAAGGCACACAGGTGAAAATCCTTCTGCTTAATCCTGGGAGACTCTGAGAAGGACAACCCACCCAGATGTAACTAACCACACAGATTCCTACGTGGGGAAAGCTATCACACGTACATAAAACACCCTCCTATGGATATACATATGGATATACAACCTGTACAATGCATGGATAGGTCCACCATCTCCACCCTCACACCCGTGGGGGCTTCAGAGTGAGGATGCTGTGTGCAGGGAGGGCTGTGGGAAGGCTGCAGCACCGCAGGACGCCCTCACACCCCAACTGCTCCCACGTTTCTGAGGACATCTCTCTTTGCAGCAGCAGTTCCCTGCTCGGCTGCACTCTGCAGGTTTTTGGGGGCAGTTGGGGCTGACCCCCATCCTGAGCTACACAACTGCCTCAACGTTTCCCCCTTCCCCACAGGAAAGTTTGCCAGCTCAACAGCAGCAACTGCAGAACACCACACTGTGCCAGGAGAAGCAAGCGCCCTGTGGTTTGAAATAATAATTAATCACTAAATTAACGAGCTGCTCGATTCCCTGCGTTTCACGCGGCTGTAACAATGTGGTCTGCAATCTCTGCTAAGCTGCTGGCAGTTGCACAATGCCACTCGCAGGCAGAGCTCTGGAGCTGAGGGTGGTTGAGTCACAGCCGTGCTTCTGCAGCACAAAAAAGCACAAAGCCAGAGCAAAGCTCACAGGCAGGCGTAAGCACTGCTGTGCCCATCAAAACAGGAACGTAACCATCTTTTTTTAGTAACTGCAGTTTCGTGTATGTTTATTTGAATAAAGATGAATTCTAATGTGCAGATTCCCAGCGACACTCTCAAGCAAACGAACTTGCCCTTCTTGCTCGCATCACATGTGGTTTGCACATTCATGGTTTGGCCCAAATGCAAAACAAATGCAACGTAGGCAAGTTAGTGTGGTTATGGGACTCTTCTCACCCGCGCTTCCTAATTTGCATCTTCCATTGTGCAAGAAAGCACAGAGCACGTATTACGATGTGCACAGCGATTTGGTTTGGCTGCAGGAGCAGCAGGCAGGGCCTGAGATGACACCTGAATTTCTCACAGTGCAATGCAGAGGATCTGCACTCGCTCTGCACGCACACTGCATTCCCTGCCCTGAAATACAGCACTGACTCAAATAAAACACTGAACAAACCTTCCAGCAGTGAGAATCTGGGAGGAAGGAACCCATGTTTCTGCTCAGCATAGCGGCACCGTGTTAAACGTCCTGAACAAGCTACTCCTGCCTGTCCCACCAAACATAAAATCATAGAATCCTAGAATGGCCTGGGTTGAAAGGGAGCCCAAAGATCATCTAGTTTTAATCCCCTGCTGTGTGCAGGGTCACCAACCAGCAGCCCAGGCTGCCCAGAGCCACATCCAGCCTGGCCTTGAATGCCTGCAGGGATGGGGCATCCACAGCCTCCTGGGGCAACTTGAGAACAAGCAGGATGGTGAAGAAAAGAGTCATTAGCAGCCACATCCACAACCAAAAAGCCCCAACTGCAAGGTGTGCAGCACCTGAGCCCCCTGCACAGCTGCAGTGCCCACAGCACTGAACCCACCCTGAAATTCCACTTGGCCAACTGTGCAAAGACGTTCTTCAGGGCGTCGTGGTGGGTGTAGAGCTCCACCTGGCCCGGGCAGTCAAACAGGTAGTAGTGACCTCTGAAGGCAGCCAGCTTCTCCTGCAGCCAGTCGAAATTGGCCTCCAGGTACTCCATGCAGTAGATGAGCCCCCCGTTGGGCCCCAGCTTCAAGTTCTCCATCACGTCAGACAGGGTGATGAGCTCAGAGATGTCCACAGCACAGGAATAGGGCATCCCCTCGTTGGCTGGGTCCAGGTTCACCACAGCCACCTTGCGCCCAATCCTGCCCATGAACTCCTGCATGCCATGGCAGTAGGTCGTCTTGCCGGAGCCTGGAGGCCCGATCACAACCTGGCCAAAGGCCAGCGGGCTGCCCTTGCTGCTCTCAGACATGGCGGCTCATCTCCTCCTCCTGAGCAAGAAATACAAAGCTCTCATTCATGGCTTTATTTCCATGGATACGAACGCTGCGAGCTGGGCCTTGAGCCCGTGGCTGCGAATCAGGAAGGGTGCTGCAGCAGGGTGAGGACCCAAAGCCAGCATCACAACTGTGCGTCCTTCCCTGCGTCCCTTCTTCCAGCCCCACATCCCATTCCCCTTCTCCCCCCGCGTCCCCACCCACACCCTCTACGCCTACATCCGTCCCCACACCCCACTCCCGGCCCTTCTCTTCTTTCTCCACCTCTCCCAGCCCCCAAACCCCCCCCACGTCTCCCCCACACCCCCACGTGTTCCCCCTCCCGCTCACCGCCACCACCGGTGCCTCAGCTGTGGGTCCGGGTGCCCGCAGGGCCCCGCTTACCGCGTTCCGGCCCCGGAACGGCAACCGCCTGCACGGCGCCCCCTAGCGGTCGGAGGGCGCAGCGGACCGAATGGTGCCTAGGGTTTGCCGGTTCGATTCCCCGCTCCACCCGTTTCCTCCAGGCACAAACCCAGCACCCCCACCTCCGCCTCCAAAAACAGAGAAATGACTCTCTACGTTGTCTCTGCCACACCTAATGAGAAGTGCAGAGTAAGCAGCAGGAAAAGGCTGGAGCCCACTGACTCGGAGGAGACTTAATTCACATGTAACACCACAACGCCAGGTCACATGGATGAAAGCTCTCAGCCCAGGGCTCTCTGCAGCCCAGGCTTTGTCACAGAGAAGCATGGAAGGAAGCAGCTGCTACACCTGACCACAGGGAGACGCCTTCCCGAAGGCTGCCAGGACGTGTCTTTCATCCCAGTGAGTTTCTGCTGGGACTGTGGGATTGTCACGCCCAAGCAAGACAAAGCTGTGAGCCCGCAGCAAACTTTCTGCAGGACAGTTACATTGCCACAGCTGGCCCTGTCTGTACTTGTCCTGCCCTAGGTCTCAAGGAGCTGTGAACTATGCGCTCTGCTTTTTGGGCTGAGCTGGCTGTGGACCTAACACAGCAGCTCTGCTGATCTAGGCAGCAGTATTGGCTTTAAAGCTCTGGCATAAAAATGCAATTCCCACCTCGTTCCCAGTGAACAAATAGGACCATTAATATCTCCCCTCACTTTAATAGCTCTAGGAGGAGTTAAAAAAAATAATCAGGGCATTTTCCGTTACAAGTTATTTCTTCCAAAAATAAATATACTCCAGTATTGAGACCAGCAGGAGCCAGCCTGTGGTCAACAGGAGCAGGAGCAGTAAAAAGGCTCTGTGATTGTCTCTGCTCAGTGTGACTGAGTGCTGGAGCTCTGCAGAGTGCCACGCGATGCCCGGACGAAAGGCATGCCCTGTCTGTACTTCATGGCAGTGGGTGGCTGGCGCCTGAGCAGCTGGTCACCACTGTCCACAGGCTCAGGGTCATCGTAGATGGTTGAGATGAGGACAGGAGTTTCTCTCCGTGGCTTTTTCACCTTGCTGAATGCTGGCAGTTTCTCCCCATGGTACCTAGAGGGAAGCAGGTAGCGTTGGGTTCAGTAGCGCTGGGGCAGTGGGACGCCCCTGTAGATGCAGGCTGTCTCCTCCATGTGTTATAAAGGAGGAACGGGCAGAAACGGTGCAGGTGTTCTGTCGTGGAGCCATCTCACAGACAGGAACAAGCAGCAGCCCTCGCAGTGAGACAAAGCACTGAGCAAAGCCCACAGACAAGTCAGAAGTACGGCACACCAATCTTGCTCGGTCACCTGAGCTTTTCCTACAGAAATACTGCAGCAGGCGACCCTTAATTCCTGAGCACGGATTTCCCTTATGTTTGTGTGCTGCATGAACCTGCAATGGTTGCAGTTCTTTTAGTGTAACAACACAAGCCCTTCCAAGAGTACTGCACTGTCAGGAAGAGCAGAGCAGTCAGCTCAGGAGTGCTGTGGCAGGGCCCTGGGACTCAGCCTTACTGCTCTGGTTCACAGTCCTCACTTTTTAAGCCAGTTAGCTGCAGATGCCAGGCAGAGGCTCCAAACACAGGCTGGCAGGGGAGGACAAGGTACTTACCCCAGACCTCTCCTGCACCTGGGATTCTGACCCTCATTGTCAAGAGCTTCAGCCATTCCAGAGTTGTTGCTCCCCAATCCCAGCCCCTCCGTCCAGCCCTGCTGCTCCAGAACCTTCCTGCCAAAGCCCTGGAAGAGCAGAAAAAAAGTCATAAAGGTGTTGGACAAAGCCCACCCTCATCCTCCCAGAACCTCCCTCCACAACACGCACATATTTTGAACGTCACCAGCACAGCCTTTCCCCATCCACTCTGTATCCAAAGCTCACCTTGGTGTATCTCTCAAAGGTGCCGATTTGCTGCCCTGATGTAGACCCATCCTCCAAACCATCTCGAAGTCTCTGTTCCAGCCACATCTGGACTGAGTCACGAGCATCCTTGTCACCTCCATCTAGGGAAAAAAGAAGCAAGAGTCGGAGTAGAACAGCTCAGGAAAGCTATTTCCTGCTGCGATTTCCCCCAGAGCACCACCCAGCAAGGAAGCAGAACCTGTTCTTTTTGGCAGCTCTCACAGCCAGAAAATGTTCTTTCAAGTACAGTGACGTCTCAGATGCTTTCAAAGGATGACTGAGTTCCCCACGTCAAAAATTCTGCAGGTTCAGAACTTCCCAACCTCCCCTGTTTCCTATGAAGTTTTTCCAAGCTCAAATACCTTTGTCATAGTAGATGCTCATGTCCACATCCCAGTCATCAGCAGTCTGCTCATCAAAGTCTGCCAAGAGAAGAAAAGCACCGGTTTTGGTAATGGCTGTGGATGTCTGACACAGAAGAGCTGCTAGCTAGCAGTCGATCCCCTGTTTTCTCTAACAAAATGGGAAGGAACAGATATTAGGGTATACAAGCCACAGGCTTACAGAGTAGGCTGCTAATAGGACCAGCAGGTCCTGGAGCCATCAGATGGAACTTCTGCAGGTTTTGTCACCAAGGGAAGGCTTAAAAATCGATCACCAGATGCCCACATCTGCAGCTGAGCTGAACGGGTTATACTTGATTTATCTGCTTCTGCCAGGCTGGGCCCCCAGTCCCCAGCTTGTGGCAGTCAGTTTGCAGTGCAGCGACACAAACAGCAACATTACCTCCATTCTCCTCCCGCCAGTACTGAGCATCTGTGTAGAAGACAAGGCCTGAACCTCCTTTCTCCCACTTCAGCTCAATCTCCTCCTCAAACAGCCGCTCCTCCACACGATCCTGCTTGGTCACATCCTCATGCAGAGCCTCGTGTCGCTCCCATTCCTCACAGGTATCATTGTCCTGCAAAGAAACCAGCAAAAGGTGGGGGACAGCAGCAGCACAAAGTCTCCTTTTCACTTCCCTGACCCTCACGGCCTTGACAATAAAACACCTTTGTCAACAGAGCTCGTCTCAGCCTGCTGTTCTCAGGCACTGACACGACCAGTGCTGATGACCTCATCCCCCTGACTAATGCCAGAGTCAGCAGACAGAAGTGGTGAAAAATACCACATCACACCCACTTCACAGCATGCTTTCAGCAGCGTACCTGATCTGTAACGCAAAGATGTCCATTTAAGGAGCAGGTGTGTTGTAGGTAAAGTCAGCACTAGCAACAAATTAATTCCACTCAAGTAGATCCCTAAAGAGATTGTATCGGTTCCAGAAAAGGAGTTTGCTGGCACAGCCACAAATCAGACTGACAGCTTTAGTGCTGTCTGCCCAGCTTTGGGCACAGCCCTTCAAGGGAGACACCAACCAACTAAGGAATGTCCAGAAGAACAGCTGGAGATCCAGGAAACAGAGCCCCTGAGAAACGGCCAGAGGAGCAGACTGGCTTAGACTGGAAAAGACTGAAAGCAGCTGTTGAATAAAGAGCTTTTAAAGGAAGGAACAAAGTGTTCTCTGTGTCCACTGTTGGTAGGAGAATCTAATGGAATAAAACTGCAGCAAAGGTTTGACATACAAGTTAATTCTGGTGCATAATGGCAGGACAGCCAGGAACGGGAATGGCTTGCCTCAGGACTGCACTGCCTCTGTAATAACAAAGGTTTGGGAGAGCAGGCTAGACAGGCGTCTGTCGGGGGGAGCAAGATAATCTCTGGAGAGCCAGACCAGCCCAGTTTTCTAGAAGTCTTTGTCAAGAAAGTCATTTTTCTCCAAATGACTAATTTGTATTGCAGGAACATTCAAGATCAACCATCTGCACGACTCTGCATGTCATTTCCAGAACACTGATGTGCTCCTTAGTTTCCAGCCATCTCATTTACAAGCAACCTCAGAGCCAGACCAACCTGCCACGCAGCAGGCAGAGGTGCCCACCTGCAGCACCAGCCACCACCGGGGCTCCATCCTCTGGACTGAGCTCTTTGTGCTCACACCATGAAGCACTTTCACTTGGACAAGCTGCTCTGGAAGTACTAACATCTGCACCACTACGTGCACCAAAGAGCTCAGAATGTGAACAACCACATTTAACGCCATATTCAGACAAGCAGACTTCCCACTACAATTAAAAGATTAAAAATTAGCTCTAAGAGTTACATCAATTCTTTCAGCTTTGCAGTGCAGTGCCTGACTGCAGGCAGCACTACAAAAATCCACTCACGTCATCCGAGTGCGACTCCTCTTCCTCCTTTTCCTGCCCCACCTCGTCTTCCTCAGCACTGGCTGGATCAGTCACCTCAGATCTTGCCACAGGCCCCTCGTCCTCTGTGATCTCATCCCCCGTAGCAGTGTAAACTCTTTCTTCTTCTATAACCATCTCAGTGTTCTGGTATTCAAAAGGCACGTTGCCATACCTCCGGGATGAGCCTGTCTTTGGGAAATCCAGCTGTAATTTCTTGATGATCCTGGGAGGCAGCCTGCAGGCACGGATCAGCTCCAGAAAGACTTTCAGAGGGGTGCCCACGTTCCCAAAAGGCATAAAGGAAGGGGGGTTGAACTCAGGCAGCCGCTTCAAGTCCGATTCCGTGACGGTTTCACCCTCAGCCTTCATGTCCACTCCACTGGGAAATGTTTCTGTGCCTGGAAGAGGGAAGGAGTGATCTGGGGAGGGAAAACACACCAACACCAGAGAGGGGCAATTCGGGGCCCTCCTGGGAAGGTCTAGGAAACAGCCCCCAAACTGACTCTGCTTACCCCATAATGGATGTAAGGTGTTAAGGAAACTCCACGGGGGGGAGAAGGGGAAAAAAACGAAGAGAGGGAAGAAGGGAAAAAGCGGGGGGGGGAAGGGAGTAGGGACGAACCCACCCTGTGCTCAGCGGGCCCACAGGGGAGCCCAGACGTACCTGTCCCGGGGCTGAGGCGGACCCTGCGGACGTGGCAGCGGCCGGGCAACAAGGTGCCGCCGGGCCCGACCCAACGTCTGCCCGAGTACATGCGGACG